TACTGAGAGTCCAGGAACTTTGGGAGTGAGAAAGATTCACCAACTAGGATCCCTGTCCCAGGCTCCTGATTCCTTATAGACCATCTATCCAAATCCACAGTTACAAAGCGCATTTCTTTTCTCTGAATTTTCAATTTGGGCTGAGTGTTGACTCTGACCAGGTTACTTTCAATGACAACTTTGTATTACAAATCTAAAGACAGTAAGGTCCTGATCTGTGAATTGCAAATCCAGGCACACAAGCACAAAGTTAAGTTTACGAAGATTCTGATCGCGAGTCTCTCTCTCTAAATACACAAAGGCAGCTCACAAGAGCCCAGTGGCGAAGAACTACGTGGAAAGGGAGGATTCTAAAACCTGCTTGTGCACCCTGGTAACTGCAGATAAGACCGGAAGAATGCCGTCCATTTTAGAGTCACCTGCAGGCTTTTGAAAACATGCCAGGGCCCCACCTCGGGAGGCAGTGCCCCTGGGCTCCCTGGTCATTTATTTACTGAGCTCCACCAAGAACGTGCTAACAATACAGCCACTGCTGAGGACAGTACACAGCCACTGTGGCCACAGGAAATCTAGCAATAGGTGTGTATGAGGGAGCGAGGAGAGAGGCTCCTTAAAATGGATGGTGTCTGAAGTGGGCCTAGAGAAGAAGGAAGAATCTTTTTATAAGGAAGGTGTGACAAAATGAGAAAATAAGCAAAATCAGACGTGTTCTGGGGAGGAAAGGCTAAAGGTGTGGTGTTGGCTGCACCACTCCAGGAAGATTAGTGAGACAAAATATACATGAGAGGACATGGCTAGGCTAGAGGTACCCCAAGTCTGCAGGAACGGTTTCTGAGCAGGTAAGATGTGTTCAGATCTGCATTTAGGAGAGAGAAAGCTAGGGATCTATTAAGATGAACAAGGTCATGGAGATCGAGCAGGGGCCAACTGATAAGAACATCAAGCAGGAGAGCAGGCCAGCATGAGGACCGTGACAATGTCAATGAAGGGGTATGTATCATACCCCAGAGGGAGATGGAAGGGACACGGGAGAAAAAAAGGCATCCAAGTTGACACCAACCACTCAGGACAATGCTTGCCAAATACAGTTGATCCTTGAACATGAGGGTTAGGGGTGCTGACGGCTGCACAGTTAAAAATCTGCATATAACTTCTGACTCTCCCAAAACTTAACCACTAATAGCCCACTGTTGACCTGAAGACGAATAACATAAACAGCCGATTAACACACATATTGTATTATTGTATATTAAATTATACTAGAGGCCCAATGCACGAAATTAGTGCACTGGGGGCGGGGAGGGGGGGTGTCCTTCAGCCTGGCCTGCACCCTCTCACAGTCTGGAGCCCTCAGGGGATGTCGACCGAGGGCTAAGCCAGCCATGACCCTGGCTTCTGGCAGAGCGAAGCTCCCATGGGAATGCACTTACCACCAGGGGACAGCTCCTGTGTTGAGTGTCTGCCGCTGATGGTCAGTGCATGTCATAGTGACTGGTTGTTCTGCCATTCAATTTGCATATTAGCCTTTTATTATATAGGATTATATTATATTCTGAAATCCTATAGGGTAAGCTAAAGAAAGGATATTACAAAATTACAAGGTAAACACATTTACAGTACTGTACATATTTACTTAAATAGCATCCAAAGGTTCACAAATCACTATATCTAGGTCACTGGAGTTAAAATTCAAGTTCTTCAGACATCAATTATATTTTTGAAAAAACAGAACAAACAGCCACAAAAAATACTAGACCCCAAAGTCTCCATTTATTCTACGCAGATAGAAATCGAAATGGATTCTTGCTAACACCATGTTATAGCACTGACTTGGGAACACGTTCCAGCTTCTCTTCTGTTTCTCTGATTTCTGCCAAGTCAAGGACCTCGCTGCCCTGGATAGCTAGCTCAGCTTCCCAGAACCTCCACCCGCTCTTCTGGGAGACGGCACACCCATGGCGAGAAGCAAGCTGCTCAGCAGTCACGCTCTGGGGCTCACTGCCCTGCCTCTTGCTAGCTGTGTATCTCTGGGCAAGTGACTTTATATTTTTCTTTGCCCCAAAATTTCCATCTGACAAGTAGAAATAACAGTACCTGCTAAAATGGCAGGAAGAAAATGCACAAGCAGAGTGAAAGTTTCTATATCACTCAGCTGGCAAGTCAGTGCACATTCTTTGGCTCCATGTGTGTAGGAAGAAAGAGGCATGAACTGGTTCCAATTTTCAGGCAATTACCATTTTCTTGTGGCACAGTTTAATAGTTTAACAGAAATCAAACACCTCAAAAAAAAAACAAAAAACACCTCACATCTTACTTCACAGTGCTTGCCAATATTATTACATTTAGGAGAAAAAAGATAACTTTGGGAATTTTAAATCCTCTTAGAATTAAAATTTCCTTCCAAATGGAAGTTCTTCAAGACACACACACACACACACACACACACACACACACACAAAGGAATCCTAAAGTTATTTAAGTATTTCAGGAATGACAAAGGAAACCCTTTCTCTTAACTGAGTTAGTCTTAAGAAAACTTACCCTGCCCTACCTTAGAATTAAAAAGTAACCTTTTCATCAATAAGATGTCATGTAAATTAATAAAATAACCCATTTATAAGGAACCATTTTAGTGCTTTCCCTTTTATATGTCAAAAAGCAGCCAAATAACCCTAACCTTGCTATCTTCATGCTACAAGCATACTGATCTATTCCAGTGGTGACCATTCAATTATTCAGGGCTTAACTTTCCGCTTTGAAGACTTTCCCCTGTCTTCTGCCTCTCTAGCTCTCCCTGGGTTCGCAGGCCTCATTACTTGTTAATGCCACCGCTGGGGGAGCACAGCACCACAGGCCACCCGCTCAGGCGGCTGGTGGATGTCCAGCCAGCACAGCTGAGACAGAGGTCCAAGTTACCACTGCCCGAGAGGGCTCCTGGTGAGTGCAGATACCATGACAGATAAGGAGTATCTGCACTGACTGTAATTATAACACAGACAACCTAGTCCACCCCCAGCCTAATGATTTACATAGCTGCTTAACCACTGAGTTTCTTTGGACAAGTAAGAACAAGACATAGGAACCTACAGGTTGAACAACCACACACTATTTTCTTCTGTGATACCAATATGCGGGTTTTAGAAAGGGAGTACAGGTCATTTTCTACCAACAGCAATGAAAACAAAACGAAAACAAATCCTAAGGAGTTTCTCTAAAAATAAGAGATCAGAAATGTTTAATTTTTTTTAAACGTAACAATTTATATTCCTGTTCTCAGGCATCAAAAGTGTGGGTACCAGGGGAAAAGGCCAATACAAAGAGTTAGACTTACTACTACACCTTCAAACAACTGTGAATATCATACAGCAGATTTACATACAGATTCATGCCAACACCATGAAAGTAATCATTACTGCATCCTTTTTTAAAGAATAGCCTTATAATTCAAAAGAATAATGGTGCTCTCCCTCCCGGGAGGAGCACACCCCTGTTTTCCCCCTGCCCCCCAGACCCTTACCATTAGAAAAAAGGAAGGAAAGAAGGAAGGAAGGAAGGAAGGAAGGAAGGAAGGAAGGAAGGAAGGAAGGAAAAAAGGAAGGAAGGAAGGAAGGAAGGAAGGAAGGAAGGAAGGAAGGAAGGAAGGAAGGAAGGAGACTCAATTAGTGTTTTATCATCAAATGCTCACGGTAGCCTCTAAAGGCTGGTTTCCTTCATCCTGAGATTCCCCAATTACCACTTTAAACAAAGGTCAATAACTTTTTTTTCCCATCCTTTTTAAAAAGAAAAAGTGTAATAGGAAAAAATTTAACAGGGATAAAAGTTATAGAAACTCATTATCTCCATGTAGAACAAGCATGTCAAACTCAATTGCTAACTCAAATAAATGAGGCATGTGGCCTGAGTCGTGGGCTGGGAGTTTGACATGCTTGACGTAGCTACACTTTCATTAGTTGTTCCTGAATGAGTCTTTCCCACATGACAGTTACAGACCTCCACCCTGGGGGGAGTTACAGTATTTTCCGGCATATAAGACGACTTTTGAACCGAAAAAGTCAACAAAAAATCAGGGGTCGTCTTATACGCCGAGTATATCCCGGAAAACTGGTGTTGCCTCAGAAGTGGGGGGTAGTCTTATACAGCGAATATAGGCCTACACCTATGTTTTAACTGTAAAATTAGGGGGTCGTCTTATACGCCGGAAAATACGGTACTTTGGATATAAGTCAAGTCCTAACATCAAGAACTGATTAAAATGCAATTATCTGGCTGTGCAAAAATTGTGATATACAGAATTCTGCCTGAAGTTCTGAGGCTTAGGAGTCTTTGCCGTTGAGGAGTTTCTGTTGGGTGGTACCCGTCCTAGGCACCTAATTTATAGCAGCATCACTTCAATGTGACCTCCCTGCGGCCCTGCGGCCCTGTGGCCCGCCTTCCCAGGACGTGACCTCCCTGCGGCCCTGTGGCCCCTGTGGCCCGCCTTCCCAGGACGTGACCTCCCTGCGGCCCTGTGGCCCGCCTTCCCAGGACGTGACCTCCCTGCGGCCCTGCGGCCCTGTGGCCCGCCTTCCCAGGACATCTCCCCACATGCAGAGGAGGCCCTCTCAGGAAGCCAGAACCCTGGGGCTCTCTCCCTCTCCACGCTACTCTGCCTCCTGAAGCAGCTTTGTGAACAACACAATGAAAGGGGGAAACACTGAAAAACGGGACTCTGTGAACATGTGCATTACATATTCTTAAAGCTATGTGCATTGAAACAACAAGATATGCTTACCTTAAAGACAATAACGGTTCATAAACTATTAGAAAATAAGTTGGTTTGTGAAATATCAAAAAATAGGGGGTTTGAAGAAGGGCTTGCAAAGGTCCATGAAACTTATAACAAAACCGATGGGTGGGGGGCGTGCCTGACTAGGGCAGACACAGACTCTTGCTGGGGAGGATATAAAGCTTCCTCAAAGGGGCCGTGACTCAAAAAAAGGCGGAAATGCTGCAGTTCCTACCTCTGTGTCCCAGGAATCGTGAAAGTCAGGGTTTCTGCTACTCCTTTTGGTCTGTGGGGGGAGATGGTGGTCCTCTTCACTGCCATTCCTTCTCCTTTTCCTGAAATTAAACCAACAATTCACCTTTCAGACACTTAAAATTGTAAACCATGACAACATACAAATTTGTCCATGACAACATACAAATTTGTCCTTTTGCCTGAAAAAATAGAACTCAGCGTATGATAGATAGCCCAATAGGTTAAAACTGGAAGCACACCCTCACTAGGTATGTGAAGAGAAAAAACATAAAACAGCAGCAGGAAGGTGGGGCTCAAACTTGGTGAGACTGATTTCGCAAAAGCAGCCTTTTAAATGCCTACTGTGGATAAATAAGCGCAGGAAGACAGTAATGAGTGCGCTTTTTAAGCTCCACCTAATTAAAGTTATGGTCTTTCTACATTTCCTGAAATTCCAAGTTACTTCATTTAGTTTCCTTCCATGTGACAAGGCCTATTTTATCCTTAAAATCCTTATGACAATAGTGCTACCCAGGAATATCCATAAAGGTTCATGGCAGCCGCTCATGTTTAGTTTTTCTTCATCCCTGATTTTCTCCCATTTGTCACATTAAACAAAAGCTCTATGCCCTCCCAAGTATTAAATTACTTTTCTGGACAAACCCTGGAAAAGCTGCTCTTGAACACAAACTTGATTATTCTGGCGACAGCACTGAGTGTTATGATATAAATTACTTGACCAGATTGTTTCTTTGAGACTATGGCATACGCTGGTTAAAACGTACAAATTTAAAAAAAAATCAGATACCTTTCTCAGTTCCCTGTGTTCTAAGATGTGCAACAGAGACACAATTTGTATGCTTTCTATGCAAGAACCAAGTGTCGTCAGAACAACTTCCAAACCCGTTAGAAAGAGAAATAAATTATAGGAAGTGTAATTTTAAGTCAAATTGCCTGGAACTGTGCTGTCCAATATGGTAGCCACTAACACATGTGGCTATTTAAATTTTAATTAATTACAATTAAAAATCCAGTCCCTAGGTCGCACTAGCCACATTTCAGCTAGTGGCAACTGTACTGGACAGCACAGTCAGAGAAGGTTCCCATCATTGAAGGCAATGCTACAGGACAGAGCTACCTGGAGGCCATATTACACACAGCAGCAGCACCTACTGAGCGAAAACTCTTAAAGGTCCAAGTTTTTAGAGCTAGAGGAGAATCAGCTTTTGGGAAAGTACTGAATCTGAGCTTATAGTGTCTTCTTATGTAAGTAGCTGGGCTTACTGAGTCAGGCCCTTCATCCTAAAGTTTTGAGTTGAACTCTGGACACTGAAGAAACTTTATCCTCCTGCACTCAGTTCCTGTACTCTGCAGCATTCTGAGTCCCTCTAACAACATTATGAATGAGTTTGAATCCAGTTTAGGGTAAATAGTGGGTGTGTGGTTCTGATAAAGCATGAACCAACCAACAGGCAGAGGGCTACGTCACTTATCTCATTCTAAGGCTCAGCTGTTTGTAAAGTAAGATCATCTCTTCTGCTTCCTACCTTTCTCCCAGGAGTCTGGGTCATATCTACATGGTATTTTGAAGTATTCGGAAACTAAAGACTAGATGAATACCAGGTTTTAATAGTCATTAAAGATATTAACATAGATTTGAGCCAAGAAATTGCTACTTCCATCCTCATATGACCAGAGAGTGTTCACAGGAATATGAAGAAGTTACAGAGCGATGTCCAATGGAAGGCGAGTGGACACCCAAAGAAACTCATGAAACGGCAGTATGTTGGTCCCAAACTCTTTTATCTGTGACAACAGCTGATTGTGCTTTGGGCTGCTGAGTCACTCTTACCAAACGTAGGAGCCTGACCAAAACTTTCCGGTTTCCACATTTAAAACAGGGAATGCATCTTCCCAGCGACAAGAATGTGAATGGCAAGAGTGTAAGAACAGAGGCTGGGCTGGCTTTGCTGATTTCACTAAACTCTGAGAAGGTCACAGGAAACAGCCCTGCCTATTCATCTTCAGCCATTTCTCAAACGACCAGAACCCTCTTCACCTGGCGGGGGGGCCTCTCTTTGGATGGAACCGGGTTAGGAATGAGCCCTACTTGTTCTTCAATTCACTTTTTGTCTCTGCTCTATGCACATTCTGTCCCTGAAACACTCTTCTTTCCACATTATCGTTAACTGGAAAGATTACAGCTTCATGCCTACACCTACCCACACAATCAGTCAGGTGATAACTTCCAACATTAAGGCACAGACCAGGCTATAATTTTAGCAGCCACATGGTCATTGGTCATATTCTCCCTAGATCATTGTTTAGGCGTCTACTATTTCTAAGGATGGCTGATTCCATCCTTTTTCATCATTTCATTTCTCCCCCGTCTTCCTGTCATACTGGGCCCAGAAGTAGAACTCTTCCTTCCTCCTGTAAAAAAAAACAAAAAACTAGCCGAAGCCGGTTTGGCTCAGTGGTAGAGCGTCGGTCTGCGGACTGAAGGGTCCCGGGTTCGATTCTGGTCGGGGGCATGTACCTTGGTTGCGGGCACATCCCCTGTAGGGGGTGTGCAAGAGGCAACTAGTCGATGATGTTTCTCTCTCATCGACGTTTCTAGCTCTCTATCTCTCTCCTTTCCTCTCTGTAAAAAATCAATAAAACATATTTAAAAAAACACACACAAAAAAACTACACAAATAAATCCCTCACTACGTGCGATAAAGGATCGCTTTAAAGGCAGGCTTCCTTGAGGGTATTTCCCTTCAATACCCACTCCTCTTCCGCCGCCCCCGCATGTATGCCACCATCTTTGACCAATGCTTCCCCAGAGCGGTTGGTGAACTAACTTGGAGATACCAAGACAGCTGGAGCTGACAGAACTGGTCCCTCGTGCACCACGGGACTTGGGGTGAAGAGAAAAGCAGGTGAGAAACCCCTGTCCACACTTCTTTTATGGTAGTGACCCGTGGTCATGTTGGCCTTACTTGCGCACCAGAGGAAAGGAAATCTGCTACCAGCATAAACACAGCCATCTGTGCACAGGGTTGGATAAGAGAGACCCTTTTAGTAGGAAATATTTTGACTCTTCCCCATACGTGAAACAGCCCAAGACAGGATCCAAAAGCCACACACTGGATTTGGGAAGGGGAAGAAAACGGCAGTCGGACCAAGCTGGCGCTAGGGAAGGGCTCTGCGACTAATCGCCTCCAGGTCAGCGGTCACCGGGCCCCTAAAGCCAAACTGGGGGCATCTTATCTCCCACTCAGAGGCGCGTGATGCCTCTCGCCCTGCAGGGCCCCACTCGCCGGAGGAGCCACGGCTTCTCCCTCCTGGACCACCAGACCCCAGGGGGCCTTCCGGAATGTCAGCTCCGCCAATCAGCTATTCCTGCAGCGGGGTCCTGGGGGGAGGACAGTGGATCCCATTCCGAGCCCGTGAACACATGGAACAAGAAGACAAACAGCATCACGTGTCCAGGCGATCCGACCTATCCCCTTAAATCCCCTTAAACCGCAGAGGCTGCTGTGGACCAAAGGGAAGCGGCCCCGTGAGCCTGAAGGACGCAGGCCCCGCGGCCGGCCTCCCCGCGTTGGTCTCCACAGGAAACTGGAAGAGCCGGGCTGGGTGACCCATCGGGTTTTTTGTTTTTGTTTTTTTGTTTTTTCACCTCAAACTCCGCGAAGAAGGCCTTTTCTCATCTGGAAGTGAAGCGGGTCCCCTTCATCCCGGGGTACCCAACCCCCGTTTGCTCCTCTCCACATGGTGACCGGGGGTAACTCAGAGGGCGACGAAGAAAGGATCGCAGCCCGGTCCGGCCTCGAGCGAGCGCGTCCAGCAGCCCAACCCCCCTCCCCAGGCCTGAGGCCAGGCTCCGGGGGACGCAGGCAGGGCGTCGCGGTGCGATCCTTCCTCCCTCCCTCCCTCCCTCCCTCCCTCCCTCCGGCCTCCGGGCCAAACGGCTCCGCCTCCGAACAGTTTAGAACCCGGTCAGCTCCCCCCCGGGCTCCGGCCGGAGGGACCCCCACCAGCCCCTGTGGTCACCCGCCCTTCCGCGCTCACAGCCGCCGTCCGGGGCCCAAATCCTTCCGTCAACACAACCCCTCCGGGCCGCAGGGATAACCCACCCCAGTCCTTCTTCCTGACCTTGGGGCGCCCGCAGCCCCGCACCCCGTTCCCCGTCTCCCCCCCCCCGCCCCCCAGATGCTCCAGGAGCTCCCACTCCGAGATCAGACACTCCTCCCCTCCCCCCACCCTCCTAAATTTAGGACGGGGACGCCGTGGAGCCGGCGTCTCTCTTCCGGGACCGACCAGACTTCATTCCAAACAGAGGGAGATGGGGGAGGGGGGAGGCGGGGAGACGTGGGAGTCACTGGGAGTCACTCCGCCAGCAGCACCCTCCGGGGTCAGGTGCCGAGGCACCCGCACAGCCCGCCCCCCTCCTCCCCGGCCCCGACCCTAACACCCGCAGGGCCCGCGCCGGCTCGGACCCCGCTTCGAGCGTCCGGTCGACTCCACCCGCCGAGGAAGCGGAGAGGGGCTGGGAAGGAACGGGGTGGGGGGTAAGGGGGGGGTCCCTGTGGTCTCACCTGGGGCGGAGGCGCTCGCTCATGGCAGCCGGTGGAGGGGAGCGACGCGGAGGCGCTCCGCGAGAAGAGGGGGCCGAGGGTGTGGTGTTTTGGCGGCCGCCACGCCCACCCCGTCGGGCCTTGGCTCTCGCCGCGGCGGCACGGGTGGACTCTGCCGGTGGTAAGTACCCCTCGGTGGGACCCGTACCACTGCTACTTCCGGCGTCCGCTCCGCGCCCCCCCATGTCGCCTCCGCTGTGGTACCGCCCTCTCGCGGCTGCGCAGTGACGCGTCCCGGCCGCCGCGCCGACCCGTAGCCCCGCCCACACGAGGGGGGAAGAGGCGGGCTTGGAGGGGGGAGGAGCTACGGAGAAACTCTGGGGAGGGGAAAAGGACCTCCTTAGAGGTGTCTGGAGCTTTCGCCTGTTCGCAGCCTAAGCGAGGGCAGTGTGAAAGTCGAGCCAGCGTTGAATGGAATTAACTTACGTCATAATAATACGAAGTAAGTATTTGAGTTTAGGTCCCTGTGAGGTAACAATTTAAAAAAAAAAAATAGCTTAGATGCGTCAGGCAGTTGTGTAGACGCGACCGGGAGTTGGGAAGCGGCTCGTGGGATGCTCTGGGGGTCTGGTCGCGGGGGGGTTCCAGGACTTTAAAGTCTAAGGAGGTGAGGACGCTGGTCTGGGGGAGTCTCGGCGGCGGGGTGCCTATCTAAGAGCGAGTGTCCTGAGCCGAGATGGGTGTCGATCGGGTGGCGGGACAAATGGAGGGCTTTCCGGAGCCGCAGGATGAGTCCCCTCCGGCGTCCCGGCGGCTCCGGCGCCGCGGTCAAGGGCTGCGGGGCGGCCGGCCTGGGACCTCGGACCCCGCCCCCTCGGCTGGAAGCTGCCTGACAGCTTTCTGAAAAGTCAGGGAGCCGGGACGGGGGACGGGGAAGGAAAGGTCCGCTGGAGAGCGCCGCCAGGAGGTGAGGGCGAAGATGAGGGTAACCTTGAGATGGGCTGGGGAAGTCTTAAACTTTCGGTTTCCCGGAATACAGAAGGAGAACTGCCGCACCGACAACCCCGGCATTTGTGCGCGGTTCAGTCGACCGACTCTCTGATTGTGTCTTGCACAGGCTGACGTTAAAACCCAATTTGATTCTGCCAGGATCGGCGATCGGGAAGCATGGAGGTCAAGGGGAAACCGCCGCTGAATTAGCTAGCGCCCTCGTACAGAAGGAAGCTCGGGTAAGGAAGCCGTCGTTAACTCACGATAAGAGACAAAGAGATAGTTCTAGCCACGTTAATTGTGAGGGTGGAGTAGTGTAGAGGCGGCCGGGTGACTAGAGGCCTGGAAAAGTGATTAGCCTAAGGCCCTAAGGCGCAGGGACTGGCCTCACGGGTGTGTTTTTGTAAATAAACGGCCCCCCGTAGCTTTCATTGTATTGTCATAGGGGTTGCCTCCAACTGTAAGTCTGTGGACAGAAGACAGCTTTGCCTGCCTTCCTGGGACACGGTGGGTTGGTTACTTTGATACACGCCACGGCCAACGTTATACCGACTTATTTTGTGAATAGTTTTCGAGTCACACTCTTTGACCTTCGTGGTTAGAAGACATTCATACTTATAGTACTTGATAAATAATACTTGTGTGTTTATGGGCGGAGAAAGTTTTCACTGAGCAAGTATCCCATCCAGGCTCAGTGTGAGGCTTTGAGAGCACAGCTGTGAGCAGACTGGAGGTGCCCTTGCCTTCTGGAACTTGCCAATAGGTTAAGTGTTAGTGGAGCTTCATTTCTCATGTTTAGACAGTGGGAGTTGTAATATTTCCTCTTGCACCTGTGATTCTTCCATGTATTTCACTTTAGAAACCGCTACTATAATCGACCACCTTCAAATCCCAGCCTGAGTTTTTTTATTCTTCACCATTATTTGCTTGAATGATGTGTTCAAGGGTTTGGTTAAAAAAAAAAAAAAATATATATATATATATATATATATATATATATATATAAATTTTTTACAAAGCGGAAGAGAGAGGGATAGTTACAAACATCGATGAGAGAGAATCATTGATCAGCTGCCTCTTGCACACCCCCTACTGGCGATGAGCCTGAAACCAAGGTACAAACCCTTGACCAGAATCGAACCTGGAACCCTTCAGTCTGCAGGCTGACGCTCTATCCACTGAGCCAAACAGGTTTCGGCTGTTTAAAGGGTTTTGACAGGTTTTTTTTACACTCATGTGATACCCAGTTGACTTGCTACAACCTTAAATAGCAAACCTTTTTTTTTTTTTTTAATATTTTTTTATTGATTTTTTTTTACAGAGAGGAAGGGAGAGAGATAGAGAGCCAGAAAGGTCGATGAGAGAGAAACATCAACCAGCTGCCTCCTGCACACCCCCTACCGGGGATGTGCCCGCAACCAAGGTACATGCCCTTGACCGGAATCGAACCCGGGACCTTTCAGTCTGCAGACCGACGCTCTACCACTGAGCCAAACCAGTTTCGGCTTAAATAGCAAACCTTTTATTCTGACTGTTATTTGGACATCTCTTCATACACTAACCATTCATTCATGCTATGGAAGTTGGTCTTCCTTACCTCCTAGTCAGGGACGTGGATTCGATTGTCTTCTGCGACAGTTGCTTCCTAGAAGCCTTCTTAATGTAAATTAAGTGGTCTGAAAACCAACTTGTGTCTTCTATTTTCTAACTTTCTCAGACAGTGAGTGGTCGGCAAACTCATGAGTCAACAGGGCCAAATATCCACAGTACAACAATTGAAATTTCTTTTGAGAGCCAAATTTTTAAACTTAAATTTCTTCTAACACACTTCTTCAAAATAGACCCACCCAGGCCGTGGTATTTTGTGGAAGAGCCACACTCAATTAGCCAAAGAGCCGCATGTGGCTCGAGAGCCAAGGTTTGCCAACTACTGTCCTAAGAAAAAGAATAAATAAAAATGAACTTTAGCCGGGACCGGTTTGGCTCAATGGATAGATCGTCGGCTTGGGGACTGAAGGGTCCTGGGTTCAATTCCGGTCAAGGGCACGTACCTTGGTTGCGGGCATATCCCCAGTAGGGGGTGTGCAAGAGGCAGCTGATCGATGACTCTCTCATCGATGTTTCTAACTATCTCTCTCCCTTCCTCTCTGTATAAAATCAATAAAATATATATTTTTTTAAATTAAAAAAAATGAACTTTAAAAAATCATCTTTAACTTAGGTAAATTATCTTTAACCAAATGAATTTAAAAGGTATGAAATAAGTGAAATTTGTGCTCCTCATTATCTCAAATGTACCTTTTTCAGGAATAGGAGAGTGAGAGGCCACCAGAATGGAAGTGTGTCCTTACTGTAAGAAGCCATTTAAACGATTAAAATCCCATTTGCCGCACTGTAAGATGATAAAACTAGCTATATCTGCCGGTCAAGATGTTTGTCAATCTGAGCAGGCTACACTCCCACATGCTAAGAAAAGGAAAAGTCCAATCAAAGACTTCACTAAAGCTAAAGAGAGAGAGTTGGGGACAAAGAGTGAGAAAAAAAATAGTATGTTGATGAAGAACAAAACGGAACAGACTGCTGAGCGCTTTCCACTTCCAGCTATCCGTTTGGAAAGAACAGGTGATACAAAGGCAAGTGATGATGACACCAAGAATCAAATTCAACTCTCCCTCAAAATGGTGAAAAATCCTGAACCAAAGATTACTTTGAAGGAAGACGCTAAGGCTCAGTTTTATGCATTAAAGAACGCTTCTCCTAAAAGGGAGCTTGCGAAAGATTTGCCTCAATTAGGGGAAAGCAGAAGTTATCCTTCACCAACGAAAGCATCTGTACCTTTTGGCCCAGTGGAACCTTCTTTGTCAAATCAAGATAGAAAATATTCTCCAGCCTTACCTAATGATGCACAAGCCACTTCTACTAAGTCAAACTTGGACACAATTGATCCCTCAAAACAGAAGTTTGTAATAAAATTACAAGATACGCCTACTGGTAATAATCATAGTTCTCCCGTGAATCTCAATTATGGAGATAAAAGAGAAAGAACGTCGTATTCGAGTGGTGAGCGAGATTCCAAGACCAAGGACCGCCTCTCAGAACTGTACATTGATGTTAGAGACGCTGCGAAGGAGAAAAAGAACATGGAATCACAAATTCTAGATTTTCAAGTCAGCGCTTTAGATAAAGTCCAAGTCAAGGAGAACCCAGGAAAAGGACTTGACCTTGGAGTAGAGGCATGTGGGAGCAGAGGACACACAAAGGAAAGTGTCTCTGTGATGGAAATGCAGGAGTGCCCTTCCAGGAGCCACAGCTCTAAGCACCTCACTATGGATGCGCCAACCACAGAGAAGAAATCTGGAGGGGAAGGTCCCCATTTAGATTTGTTCACGCCAACGCAGACGACGTGCAATGAGTTAATTTCTGTATCAGAGCCATGTAATCAAAGTCTCGCCTCTCTGGCTATAAAATTTCTACCAGAAGAGAAAGCAGAAGCCTGCGATCCTAATCCAGCCCCTGATGGCAAGGCATTGATGGGAAGTGAGGGGCAAGCCTTTCTGGAGCCCAGATCTGGCTGTGGGCCCCCAGCCTTATACCCAGAGTGCCAGCGGTCTTTACCTGCAACCCAGCATTGGATTTCTAAAACTCTCTTCACCGGGCAGGTGGCAATTGCCGGACAGGTGGCAATTGCCGACAGGAAGACCCTTCCTGGCTCCTTGGGGTTGGAGTGGTTTCCAGAACTCTATTCCGGTTACCTTGGACTAGGCGTGTTGCCAGGAAAGCCTCAGTATTGGAATTCAATGGCCCAGAAGCCTCAGCTTATCAGTCCCCAGGGGGAAAGAGTGTCGCAAGGTAAATATGCTCCTTTTCCAGGGCCATCCAGCTCACACAGACCACTGTGCCTTTTGAAGTAAGATTAGAATACTAATATTTGCCCTCAGTTAGCTTATTTTTGCCTGGGCATTTAAATGCACTGGACTTAGAGTTGCTTTGAACATAATACTTCTTTCTCCAAGGGTAACTGGTTTATCACTCTCCCTTCCGCTCCACCAGTAGTTGAAAGCCAGGCTGGCTGGTGATGTGGATAGTTGAATTTCTACATTAGGGAGAGACAGGGCCAGAAGAAGAAATGGGGTGGGTATTTAAGCCAAACAGACTCCAGCGCAAGGACTTCAGAGTCCACCTAAGAAGAAGCACTGTTCAGATTTCAGACACAAAATAGGTTCCTGGGAACTTAGAATAGCAAAGAAGGTACAACAGACACTATTTTTGGATTTGGGGGCAGGATGGTATTAAAACTGTTCAGGGAGGCACGCCAGTCCAGGCAGATACAGGGGAAGTGAAGGTTGGGAGAAGACCACAGGAATAGAGGGTGTTACAGAAAAGAGGTGCAAGTCCGTGCACTAGAAAAATGAGTCCACAGAGAATAGGACCCAAGAAAGTCTCTCTATTGTCCTCATCAGGAGACTCTGGGTCTTTTTCTCTGTTTAGGTTTTCTACAGGCAGAGTTAAATGTAGCTTCCATCTCTTTGGTACATTCTATAAATAATCACATATTCACGAAACGCCAATGTATCTGGTCTCAAAAGCATTGTCTTTTGTATTTTAAATGATCCCTTTCTAAGGATTTTTAAATGGAAGAACATTATTAGGTAAGGAGTGTTAGCGAAAGCTCCAGTTTCTTCAGCTGCCTCAGCAGTGACTGGTTGTCTACAGTCTAACATCTAGGCTCTCTTTACAGAGTTGTAGTCTCAAGCCCCTTCCTCATATTAAATGTGGAATGAATATTAACATTTGTGTTTGTTGGGTTTCAGAGTGCTTCCTTCTATTTTCTTATTTTGGCCTCATCGCTTTGAGAAGTGGGCAGTGATTTTATCTTTTGCAGAGAGGACAAGGGATTTGTCCAAGGCCATGCCGTCAGTAAATGGTAGAGTTGCATGTAGAACCCAGTCTCCTGAAGCCTAGTTCATTTCTTCCCACTAAACCATGTTGTCGAGAACATACCATCACTAGACACATAGGTGTTCATTAAATCTCAGTACTTCTCTGATTTTCAGTTGCATAAACATACAGCACAGAGCAAATCTCTCTAGCGTGTAGGATTTGCTTACTTTCTGTTCTGCCTTTGATAGCACTAAAGAGTGTCCTTGAAATATCCCCTTTTCATTTAAGAAGAGAAAGGGAGGAACTGGTGTTTGTCAAGTGATGCCTATTTCAGTCATTGTGCCAGGTTAGGTCCGGTATATTATTATCTCAACTAACCTCATAAGGACTCTGCTGTGATGTCACTGACCCGCCCTCTTTAGCAGGTAAAGAATCTGAGACTTGCCCATACTCATTCACAGTAAGTGGCAGTCAGTTCAAACCCAGGTCCATCTCACTTGTACATCCATGGTCCTTAAACTGCCTCAGGCTACTCTTTGGGGCACTTAGTGATTGTCATGGCTGATAGAAGTTATTAGATGACACACTTTAATGGGTCCCAAGAATACAGTAGTAATAGGGTTAAGAGATACAGTAACATGTCATCAAATCACGAGGCTTATGAGATTAAATATGATGGAGAAATACAATCCTTCCTTCAACAATAACTTCCTCCTCATGTGGTTAGGAACCGTTTTGTTCTTTCTTACTGGTGCCAATCGATAAGTGATTAGTTTGATTTCTATCAGACAGTGTGTAGCCATCCCAGGGTCTCTAGTTCTGTTATAAGTTGAGAAACTAGAACTTAATTTCACGACTAATGTTCAGAGTTTGACGCTGCCACTGAATGAGACCCTAGGACCTGATAGCTCAGTTAGCCAAGGACTTCAGCAAGGCCATCTATATCTACAGAAATTAAAAGGCAGTGTGGCTTCTCAGCTTTGTTATTTTACCAGACACTGGCTACCTCCAGGGACTGCAAATTAAAATGGAATTTTCATGGAATCTTTGCAGCAGTGTGAACCATACTCCCTTGCTCAGGCAAGACCTTTGGTAGACCATGGCCTTGATCTCAGGAAGCCAACTCATTTCTTTGCAGCAGGCGGGGCCAGTGAGCTAACAATGACTGAGTTTACCCTCTGTCAGCCATAATGCCTGTATGTCTACCAGTCCTGGGAGACTGGTCTTAACCCCTTTTATAGACAAGGAGACAGTTCCAGAAAGGAAATAACTTGCCCAACATCAAGTTTTAGTTGGTGGTTGTCATCACGTTTCAGTAGATGGTCTTTGCCAAGCTTTCTCAGGCAGCATTTCTTCTGTTGGACATTGGGCTTCACGTGGTATCCGATCTGCTTTCCTGCACAGGGAAACCTGGAACAGCAGTTAGTCCTTCCACACCGGATACCTGGGTGAACCTAGGGAAACTGATTCCACCAGATGAAAAGGTACCCAGGGTCTTAAGAGGCATCAAAGACTACCTTATTTTGATGACGCAAGGTGGAACCTAAAGCTCTCAGACCTGATGGAAAATGGGTATATTTTGGTGGCTGGGGCTAGGAGGTCCCAACGCAGACTGGTAGTTCTGAGAATGCCACAGAGTTTTAGACAGGAATAAGAATTTGGCTTATGAATTCAGCAATAACTACCAAAAGCAAAGCTTGTCTGTTGGGGGCACCAGAGGTAAAAGTGAGGAAACCAGATAAGATTATAGGCTTTTAAAGGCAAGTAACAGCTAAATAGAGGCCCTTCTCTAATCTTCAAACAGCATTTCCATCAATAGGGTATCCGTGTGAGATGTCTGAAGTGGGACAAATGTGGGGAAGGACTCAGAATCTGAGCAGGAATATGAAAAGTTACTTACATTTTACCTGTGCCTGTCTACAGCCAGGATTAGGTCCCGTTAGCCAAAGAAGTCCATGAAAAGGAGTGTTTTAGACAAAGGAGCATGTGAATCATCAACAGCCAGAGATTTAAGGGGCAAGTCAAATCCTAGGTCTGGGATTCCAGAGGGATGATGGGAAATGTTAGAGGTTTTGAGAGTGGCTGAGGTTTTTCCATGGTTGTATTAGAGAGTGGGGCCAGTGTCACTGAGAGGTTAACCATTTTCATTGGATTTAAATATAAGGACATGAACGCCAGCAGGTAAAAGAGTATCTAGGAGATGAAATGGCAAAAGCAGTGGATCTTAGCAGCCCCAGGCCCAAAGGGATGGAAATCAGAACCCAGAGTAGCTGGGCAGCAAGAAGACATAGAAGAAAACTGTCAAAGGACTGTGGATTCTGAACTGATTCCTCCTGGGCTCTGTATCCCAGCTCAGGGCCTGAGCTGATATCATGCACATAAGTCTGGCAGCCTGCAAGGAAGTCAGTAGACTCAGCTGGTTGGAGAAAGAACAGAGTAGAGGAGCCACCCTTACCTGCTCAGAAAGTTGTATAGTTGCAATTTCATGGAGTTGCTTCACCCCATCTTTTCAAAATTTTCCCAAGATGAATGGATTATACCCTGCTTTGTTTTTTGGTTTGTTTTTTTTAAGATCATAGTCTTCATCTTAAAAGAGAGTTATATTCTATATCATTTCTTGGAAGCTAGCACTGTTCTTTTCAATCAACAATGACAGGTGGAAACACGCATGTGATTGGTGCCAGCAAGAGCTTTATATGTATCGCTCATGCACGAGTCAACTTAGCCTTTTATATATAATTAAGCAAGTTTAATATATATATAAAATAAACTTGCTTAATTAGTCCTACTTTCTGATTTAGCTAAACTTTTTCTAGCCTAGCGAAACATCCCATTCTCTTTCAGGTAATTGTCAGCAACACAGCAATAAATATCAACACCAATCAGAATATCATTGTAGATCATGCAGGGAAAACAAAGGGTAAAATATTTAACTGCAGCAATGTTTGACTATATTTTGTGCAGTGAGAAAACCTGAAGTCATTTTCAAGGTCCACCATTTCTTAACTTCTATTCAGTTGGGTCAAGTTTCTAAGCTTTTTAAATCTCCCTTTTCCAGCTAATGAAAAGAAAATAGGATTCCACCAAGTCTCCTATCTACCTACTCTAGGACTTCTGTAAGGATCAAATGAGATGAGGCCCGGGAAAACGCTTCACAGACATTTAGTTACAGTGTAAAGTGCTTAAAATGCTATAAGCAAGTCGTGTTCCTGGGCTGAAGAAACTGCAAGGAGGCTAGTCATCAGAGAGAGGAAGCCGGGGTTGCTATGTGAGGTCATTACCCGGATGGTTGGACACTTAGCATATTAGCCTTTTATATATATAGATGACCATTTAGGTAGTATTTTTACATCCACACCACCTTTTGCCATGCCTGCTAAATTGGACATAAATATTTGCTTACATTGTCCTTTATCCTGATGAACCAAACCAAGACCAGAGAACCAACCATAAAAGAGATTCCCTGTCTGTCATTAAAAGTGAAACACAGGAACAGGAAAAATGTAAATGCATAGTGTAAACCCTCCTTGCCGTTCTCCTTTAGTTAGCCGTGTACCGAACATAAATAAGAAACATTTGCTGTCAGCAGTAGCGACGGGCTGCTGGAACAGACCTGTTGGCTGCAGATACAGTGACAAGTAGCTGTAGTAAATCTGAGTGTAGACAGTCATGGTTTTTGCTCACACGTTTTAGCAGATGATGGAAAATAAGAGAGATTTATTTCATTCAGCACATACACATAGGTCATCTGGGCAGAATATTCATCAGATCAGAGAGATTTATTTCATTCAGCACATACACATAGGTCATCTGGGCAGAATATTCATCAGATCAGAAGGGAGCCCTTTTCTGACCTGCGGGGGCTGCTTTGACTTGGAGCACTTAGCGTGGCTGCAGCCACAGGCACCTCTTTAGGATACGCGTTTCTGGAGGCCTAGCTCTGGAACCGTGGGTAGAGTGTTGGGGAAGTGGGTGAATTCAGATGAACTATCACTGTGACTTCTGTTTGGGACTGCAGTTCCTTTGTTGGAAAGAAGTTCGACTGCTCTGTGGAGTTGGGAACCCCCGGCCAGGCTTACCACCTCCAACGTCGCTCTAATGCGGCTCTTGGGAGCTGTGCACAAAGGTGAGGCGCGGACATCGCTTGTTGGGTTCTGTTGCTGGTTCCAAGCTTTGGGAGACTCTCCTTTCTTTAGCTGTGACTGTTACTTAACACACGGCTAACGAAAAATGTGCTTTCTTCCTGCTCCTCCGTTTGCTTTCATCCTGGAGTCCGACGTCAGCAAAAGCACCAGAGTTAATAAAGTAGTAGCTGCCATTTTGGTTTTTAATGCCTACTCCGGCTCTCTGCCACTTACACCATGTCTCCCTCGCCCACATTGATCGTCCCCAAGACAGGAGGACTCTAAACCTTAGGTTAACCAACCAGTGGTATTAGTCTCCTCCTCGGTAAGAATTTTAACCAAAATCCCAGAAGAGTGAACATTTTTTAAAACTGAGATCTTCTAGACTTTAGCCTTTTCATCTGTTTACACGTATACCCAGTGCTGTGTAAATCCTCTGAGTTACGGTTCCATGGCCCCAGCTAAAGGAGAGCTCGCAGGTAAACCTCAGTCACAGGTCCCGGCATCACCGTTTCTCTCTTCACAGGCTGGATCAAGTGCAGCACCACCGTGAAGAGTGGAGTTGGTGGCGTCACAATGCTCTTCACTGGATACTTCCTTCTTTGTTGTACCTGGAGCTTCAAGCATCTGAGTAAGCCTTTCTATATTTTTAGCCTCAATTACAGGTCACATCCCATTCCGGGGACCTCCAAGGGTTCCTCTGACTGCTTTTTATAACATTACAGCTTGGCACTATCTGATGCCCTGGTGAATGAGGTAGTGCCTGAGGCCCTGAGGTTCTTTTTATTAAGAGCTGTGGGTTACAAAAAAAGAGAGAGAGAGAGAGAGAGAGAGAGCGCCCGCAAGAGCAGCTTTGGGTTACCGTGGCCTTTGTAAGACTTGACTAGATTTACATAATTGCTTTTGTGCTCAGTTAAGGTTGTCATGGAGACCTGTTTGCCTCCTGGAAGATGGGGCTCCTCTCAGGGGTGCCTTTTTATTCCCTACCTGAGCACTTTTTAGGATGAAACCTAGCTTTCTGCCCCACAAGAGAGAAGGAGAAACAGGATGCAGCTGTCAGTCACCAGCTTGTAGCTGTCGCAGGCACTTCTACTTGTGCCAAAACTTACCAGGAGGAAATGCTTGGTTCATTTCTCTGTCAGCTTAAGATGGCTTTTGCTCATTTTTTAATGTATTATTTTATTAAAACATATGTTTATAGTTAAAAGTTAAATAAAAAATAAAAAAAAACATGGAAAGAGCCCAGTATTTTTCCACAATTAAAAACAGAAGAGACCCATCATTTTCAGATGGAAACTTTTGGTGTAAAAGTACAAGGTAACCATTAACACTAATAGCCAGTAGAATTTCCAAACATCTCAGCTTAACAGCATGATCTGTAGAGATGAGAGATAAAGAGTCAATTCAAGTGGCCTCCCAGATCCTTACATTTTATCTCTTTATCCAAAGAGCTTGGCTGGCGGAAGCAACGCTGACCCGAGCGCCACGGAGTATGCGCTGGAGAGGACTCTGGAGACGACTGCAGGGCACGGTCCACAAGTTCCAGTGGTGTCGGGACATGAGAGGGAGGGAAAGAATAAATTATTGAATGGAAGGCAGTCATTTCGGAGTATGTCTTTTTACATGTGAACAGATCTGGTTCTGTCTGGATATTTCTTTGGCTTGCTCTCAAAAGTCACTGAAAGTTACTGGGAAAAGTCAGTTTATTTGTTCATAAAGGCTGATGTCATTTATCCTTTTCTATATAAAGTCTGTATTTAGTGTGTATATGTGCAAGGAAGACAAGGGTTTGCTCTTACCTCTCACCCTGGCAGAACAGAGAGGTCAGAGTTCAGCAAGGACAGCAAAAAACAAAACAAAAAAAAAACAGAATTCGTAGGCCACAAAATAAGACTGGAAACTTACTAGCCCTTTTATATATATATATATATTTTGTATTGATTTTTACAGAGAGGAAGGGAGAGGAATATAGAGATAGAAACCAATGAGAGAGAAACTGCTGCTTTCTGCATGCCCTACTGGGGATCAAGCCTACAACCAAGGTGCATGCCCTTGGCTGAAATCGAACCCGGGACCCTTCAATCCATGGGCCAACATTCTGTCCACCGAGACAAACCAGTCCGGGCCTGACTAGCCTTTTAAAGAAACGTGTCTGGCAGCAAGCATAAGATTGGGCGGTTGCCACGTCCCTGTGGTACATTTGGTGTACCAGTAGCCCCCCTCCCTTCACGCCCAGGAGCGGGCTTCTTATCTGTGGCAGGAGAGGAGTCACTGTGCAGCTCCAGCCCGCCCTCAGCCCTGGACAGAAAACAGCCCGAACCCCTGACCCCTCATCCTGCCGAAGGCCCTGCTCCTGCGCCCTGACCCCCAGGCGGGAGGAGGGCAGCTGCTCCTGGGGCGACATCGGAAGGGGGAGGGGCAGGCACCCCGTCGGGAAAGGAGCTTTCGAGGTGCCAGGTAGAAGCAGGAGGTGCTGAGCCCCAGGGCCAGGTGAGCTGCAGATACAGCGGACGCGGGAGGCACAAGGAGCTCCCACAGACGATCCTCTGTGCAGACGCAGCCCCTTCTCACCGAGGCCGGGGCCCTGGCCAGGAGTTCAGGCAGAAGCCAGGCTTTGAAATGCCTTCATTTACCTTTCTCGTTGCTGAAAACAACATTTGACCAGAGTTAGAAATGGGCTTATGACTGACTAACCCACCTTCTAGGCTAGGGGAGATGCCACTCAGAACCAGCAGGGGGCGCCCTCCTCCCGCCCCATTGCCATCCAGCCGGGCCAGCTAGTGAACGGGAGCTCAGCAGCAATCATTCCTGGGACCAGGCTGTGCAAAAAACGGGGCGGAGCGGCAGCCGTGGCCCGCGGGCCAGGGTTTACTGACCCTCCTGTGACCCTCAGGCACCTGGTGGCTGTAGGGAGTTCTGTCCCCACAGGGACCCCCCAGGGCCCAATTCACGGTGACTGGGCCACAAGTTCTTTAACGCCACCACGCCTGTGTGAGGAGTGAAGGGGAGGGGAGGGGAGGTATGTGTGGGCTGAGAGCTGGGAAGTCCCACCTGAAGCGGAGGTGACAGAGCTTGGAGGGGCCTGGGAGGAACCACCACACGTATGTGCCACTCATGCAAAGGCGTGTGCCTTCCCCAGGACGGGGAGGTGGCAGATGGCGTGAGAGTGAGGGCCGTGGGACAGGCAGTGCTGGGGGCTCCGAGGTCCCGGGGCACCTGCAGTAACCGGCGTGAGACACACGGCCCTTCCTGCCCGCACTCACCTCGGGGCGTTGGGTGAATAAAGGGACCATCTTGGGGCTGAGGAAGCAGAGAGAGACATTACAGCCAGGCCGCTCACCGTCGCCTGCTCTAATGTGAGGCCCGTTCCGTGTGAGGGCCCAGGAAGGAACCCAGACCCTGTCCGGGGCCGGAGGGAGGGCTGCAGAGGGTTTGGTCTCTCCCAGCATCATTTCTGCCCTTATTTCTAGAACAGTCTGTGAAGAGCTACATGCCCGTCCCCAGCACGAACATACACGCACAGCCCGGGGCAGAGCTCAGCGTGGCCAGGGAAGCATCAGGCAGACACTCCCAGGCACCTCACCCCACCTGGGCCAGAGCTACGGAAGGATCTAGATGGGAACCGGAGAGTGGGCCCAGCGCTCGGGGAATCACACTCACTGTGCGTACTGGCACTCAGGTCCCAGGGGGCAGAAGCCCCCTAAGTAGTTGGTGCACATGACCCTCCTGACGTGGCGGTATTTGCACAGGGGACCTGCCAGGCGGAGAGAAACGGCATCTGCATTAGCAAAGGAGGAACACGGGCCAGGGATGGCACAGCAGTCCACGGCCCGGGTGTGTGACTTCCTGCCCTGTCCCCGCCCTGAAGCACCTGATGTGGCCCCTGCCCCTCAGCAGCTGACTGTCGTGGAGCAGGAAGAACATGCTTAAGTGACAGGGTACCCCCCAGGTGGGTAAAGTGTGTGCCCTACAAGCGCGGCTCCCTGGGGGGCCCCCCATGCAAGCGGCCTGGCCACCCTAGGATGGAGCGTTTTCTGTTTCCGTAAGTGAGGAAGCCATTCAAGGTTGTGCAGCCGACAAGCCCTGAAGCCATGGGGGTTGCACCTGCGCATGCTCCAAGAAGCCCGCCCGCCCACACGTCACCATGACAGGGTCTCCTAGGAGCAGGCTGAGAGCTGGGAAAGGACGTCTGCTGGGAGTAGGGAGTTCTGACCCTCCTGTGGACCTCACCCTAACATGCCACCTCCCAGCTGGGAGACGGCCCATCTGGCCCCCACGTCCCCTTTGCTCCCTCTGCCGGGGCTCACCATCTCTGCAGAAACCCTGGTCATAGGAAGGACAGTCCTGAGCCTCGGAAGGAGTCTTCAGGTGAAGAAAGTCGCATTCCTTGTTGCTGCACTCACCTGAAAACCCCAGCATCCTCTGTAGACAAGCGGGCCCGTGGTCACGGTTACCTCTCCCCCCTCTCCCTGCCCACTCACACCACTTGACCTTGGCCATCCAAACAGAAGCCCCTCGCCTTCCTCTGGTCGTCAGCAGCTTTTGAAGATGGGGAGGTGTTTCTAATCTTCCCTGCACTCTACGAAGGGCGGACCCCAACAATGCCAGTACTTGCTAAGCAGGGCTTGGGGTGATTGCACACACTGGGAGCGGTTGGATGGGACAGGCCCGGTGCCCAGGATGCCATCAGGGAGGCAGGAAGCAGGCAAGGCGGGACCCGGGGCTGGCAGCTAAAGACCAAGGCGACGTAAGCCGCTGAAGGAGACCTGGCTGTGACCGAGGCCACCGTTCCTCTCCGCAGTGAGGGGTCACCACGAGTCTGGGTGCAGCTCTGTGCGGTGACATTGCCAAGAAGAGCAGGGCCTGCCTCAGAGCTGGCCCAGGGACGGAGACTGTGGGAGAGACAGGCCCCTGGCTCCCCGGAGTTTGCACACACTACTGGATGTCTCAGCGACCCAGGGGCTCTGAAGGCACCGCAGGGTAGGCGGTGGCGGGGATTCAGCCCCCAAGAGCTGGAGTTTCCAATCTCATCCTCCTTAAAGGTCTACAACTGCCTTTTGGCACCAAAAGGCACTCCGTGGTGCCTGTGCCATTGGGGTTCAAACTGCTCCCGAGACCTGTTTCGTACACCAGGCTTCTGCAAAGCCAAGGTTCACTGGACCAAGGCCCCACTGGCTCCTGAGAGGCCTAAGCCTCTGTTTGTGCCCAGCCCTCTCCTTTTGCAAACCTGCTAGGGACCAGGTCACAGGCTCCTCACATCATAAGGGGGTTAGCTGTCTCATGCCAGTGTGCATCTGACTCTGGGCTTGGGCCTCTTAAGGCATCCAAGGGGCATCCGCCCTCCCCGCTCCAACCCCCAGCAGGGACTGGTGAACACCGGATGGATGGAGACTGCGTGCAGTCACCCTATGCCATGGGGTTGCCTTTCCGTCCTGAATTCACGACGCTGCATTCCTCTCATGGCCAGCAGGTGGCGCCCGCACATCACCCTCCAGAGATAGCAAGTACCTTTTTGATGGGCACAGCCAGGAACCGGGTCCAAAGACCAGGATTTCCTCACCCCTCCCCACTCCTACACGCCCCAACAATCTCTTTAAAAATAAAACGACTTACTTCCAACAAGAATGGTAATTACTTTGGCATGCGACGAGAAAGAGATATTCGTTCATTTACTCTGAGAGCAAAAACATACCTTCTGTAGTATTGCAATCACCAATTTACATGCCTGCCCCTCACAATGGGAGCTGAGGGCAGAAGGGGACCTGGGCCTATTTCTGTATCCACGTCCAGCACCATATTCCCAAAGGAAAACCAGGGCTATTTATTTTTATTTACTTTTTAATATATATCTTATTGATTTTGTACAGAGAGGAAGGGAGAGAGAGAGTTAGAAACATCAATGAGAGAGAGTCATCGATCAGCTGCCTCTTGCCCATCCCCTACTGGGGATATGCCTGCAACCAAGGTACATGCCCTTGACCGGAATCGAACCTGGGACCTTTCAGTCCCCAAGCTGACACTCTCTCCATTGAGCCAAACCGGTTTTGGCAAAACCAGGGCTATTGAAGGAGCTTTATAATAATAGCAGCACTTCAAAAGGAAAGAGGTCCATGCGATGACCGAGTGGAGCCAGGCCCCAGATAAACTTTGTCCTGTCCTTGAAGGCACACGGGCCACAGCTCTCAACTCCGAGGGCCAGGTAGGAAACAGATTGGGCCTGGGAGGACCTCTCGCCAGGACCTCCCCACCTGTCCCCAATTCTGGCTCGGTTTCAAAGCCACGGCCACCGCCAGACACACCCCTGGAGGCTGTCCCAGCCCTCTCCCCTCCGGGTCACTCTTCTCAGAACACACTTTCCACACCACTGGACTAGATCATCCCTAAGGCTCCTTCTGTTCTGGAAAGCACTGAGCCGTGGAATCCAAGGGAGAAGGAAATTCTCCCAGAGTCCACGCCTAAACGAGGCGGGAAGCGG